AAATATATATATATATATATATACTGGTATCATTGGCAAATATCAGTGAAGTAAGGTTTCCTGAAAAATAGTGTCATACAAGGCTTAAATATTATTAATAAAAGAGGAATGGTAGATTGGAATATAGATTAGACTTAATTTGAAGACTTACATGGGGTTTAGCTAGACTGGATATTCTGGATTAGTGGTTTACAATTGATTATATTATATTAGTGGTTTATATTGATTAGGCCACTACAATCTCTTTTACTCCATTTTTGGGGCAATAATATGGGGATAATATCTGATCTTACTACTACCATCCTGTATCACTGCTGGGAAGACAGAATAAAAGAATGAAAGGGGCTATTTATCAGGCATTGCTCCTGCTTCCTTAGGCAGTCTTAAATTTACATTTTAAAAAATAGTTCTAATAATTAAAAATGATAGTTAGACATACCTCCTTCTTTCGATTCTTTAGTATATTCTGAAATTTGGACAGCTCTTTTTCTTGTTCTCCTTTAATGCGTTTGGCTTCGTCTCGCAAGCGATTTGTATGCTCTTGTTCTACTCGTTCAATAGTCTGTTTCTGCTGCTTTTCTAGATTCTCAATTTCCTGGTCATACTGTCGCTTTTTACTCTGTAAAACATTGTACCTTAAGATGATTTAACTTTTCTAACATACATACTAACTCGTTATAGTGAAGAAGTTTACTAAGACCACATAACTATATTTAAATTTAGTAATATGATATAACCTTTGCAGTAACGAACAAATCAAATACACTAAAGTGTTAGAAAAATTTTCAGAAAGTAGCATTTTACCTAACATGGAAAATATTTTATTTCCATTACACAAGTAGTTAAATATTAAAAAATTTTAGAAAATCCAGAGGACTACCCAGTTGCTATGGATTATTTAAGGTAGAAAAATGACAGTATTCATTCAATAAAGTTTTCTGATAAATCAAACGGCTCATCTGATTTGGGGGGGGGTATTTTTAAGGCAGGGTCTCCCTTTGTAGTTCAGGCTGGCCCTGAACTCACTATGGAGCACAGGCTGACCTCAAACTCGAGGTGATCCTCCTGCTTCTGCCTCCTGAGTGCTGGGATTACAGGCATGCGTCACCATGCCCAGCTCTAAATTCATTTTAATAATGTAACATTATTCATCATTTTGGGATTACTCTTCATTAAGAGTCTTAAAATAGGGCTGGAGATTTAGCTCAGTGGTTCCAGCACCTGCCTCGCAAGTACAAGGACCTGAGTTCGATCCCTGGTACCAAAAGAAAAAAAAAGACTTAACACCCTATGCTATTGAAGCAAAAATTTTGCAATTATAAATCAACTGTTTCAACAAGACTACTATTTATATTGTATAGGACTTGAGTAATCTAAAAAAAAGACTTAACACCCTATGCTATTGAAGCAAAAATTTTGCAATTATAAATCAACTGTTTCAACAAGACTACTATTTATATTGTATAGGACTTGAGTAATCACACAAATTTGAATACAGGTACAGCTAAACATTTATAAAACAATTTTTTTTTTTTTTTTTGTACTGGGGACTGAACTCAGGCCCTTGAGCTTGCAAGGCAGGTGGCAGAACCACTGAGCCAAATCCCCCGTCCTTGTAAAACAATTTTTTAAAAGAAAATGAAACACAAAACATTTAGGAAAATATTTGGAGGGAAGAACTAGTTAGCACTGTCTTCTATAGAGCAATCAACAGGGATGTGGAGGCTTTCCTACAGGAGCCAGAGAGGAAAGAGTGCTGTGAAAAAGCCCCTAAGAAATTCTAATACTTAGCCACGCCTGAAGACAGGCTTTGGCTTTGGACTAGTTGAAAATCTTAGATTCTAAACTGAAAGACTGAACTGAAACACTAACAGGCATGTCTAAGAACTCTGTAAACCATTTTGGCTTCACGTTTTCAAGTTTTCATGACAGACTTCAACTGGGAAAAAATAAAGACCCTCTCACACCATAACTCAGTGATAACAAAACTGAAATTGGAAGATTCTTCCAAGAAAAAATGATTTTTTAAAAAAGGCATTAAGAACCCCACAGAGATATAGGCTAGAAATACATCCCAAAACCAGGAAAATCTAATGATTCAGAACAAATTCTAAAACCCACTAATGGTTTCTTTTTAAGCACTAAATATCATTATTAACAAAACTGCACAAAAACCTAAGATGTTACCATCATTTCTTGCTCAAAACGCCGAAAAATCTGTTCTCGTTGTTGCTGTAGTTTGCCATTGAGTTGCTGTTGGGCTCTCTGCTCTTCTTTTTGAAGAAATCTTAATTCTCGAAGTTCCTGACGTCTGATAAAAATAATGACAAAGAGGAAGACTGCAAAAATTACGCCTTTGAATCAATACCTTTTTTCACAAAGCTTTAAATTTTTTTTTAAATAGAGATTAAGTGCTGGGTGTGGTGGTGCACATCTGGAATCCCAGTACTAAGAAAGCCGAGGCAGGAGGACTGTCAGCCTGTGCTACACAATGAGTTCAAGGCCAGCCTGAACTACACAGCGAGACCCTTTTCAAAAATACATAATAATAATAATAAAGTCAGAGAAAGAACAATCCAAAATTAGCCAAGAATTTACCCTCATTTCTCTATTTTTCAGATTGTTGGGAAAACAAGTCACAAACCAGTCTTTAAAACATTCCATTGTTTCTCTACTCACCTGAGGAACCGCAACTCTTCAGTTTTAGAATCACTATCTGAAACTATCTTTGACGTTGTGACACTCACTTCTACACCATCAACAATAAATTTGCGTGTTTTCTTCAATGTTTTTTTCTGTCTTCTTGTTTCCTAAGTGAGATTTTATTTTATTAGTTAAGTTTTTATTGCAGAATACTGGATGCAGAAAACATATTCTTTAAAAATAAAATGATGAAATCCATAAAGATTATAAAGTATGAATATAAAGTAATACAACTCTTCTGGGAAACCAGTTGTATTACTTTAAACCTCATCTGAATTAGGCTTGATTTTACAGAAGAAATCAAATCTTTTAAAAAGTGACAGGCATTTTGATGATGTGTATACAAAACTTTTGTGACACTATATAATTAGGCACAAGCAGTGACCTTTACACATCAACTATTTTTTCATCTGTTCACTTCTATAAGTTCTGAGATACCTCTGCTTTCTTACTGACAAAACACTTAAAAATGGATTCCTTGAGCCAGGAATGGTTGTGCATGTGTGAAAGCCCAGCAGCAGACAGGCTGAGGTGGGTAGATCGCCGCCAGTTCAAAGTGAGCCTGGGCTACACAGTGAGACCCCTGCCCCGAAAAAAGAATAACTGAGGCTTGTCCCTTAAAAAACTAAAGCAATGGGTCTGAGTGTGGCTGGGTACATTCTTTCGAAAATGTTCTCAGAGCCGGGCATAGTGGCACAGGCCTGTCATCCCAGCACTTGGGAGGCTGAGGATTACTGTGAGTTCCAGACCAGCCTGGGCTACATAGTGAGTTTCAGGTCAGTCTCAACTACATAGTGAGACCCTGTCTCAAAAACCAAAAAGAAAGAAAGAAAGAAGGAAAGAAAGGAAAGAAAGGAAAGAAAGGAAAGAAAGAAAGAAAGAAAGAAAGAAAGGAAAGGAAGGAAAGGAAGGAAGGAAGGAAGGAAGGAAGGAAGGAAGGAAGGAAGGAAGGAAGAAAGAAAGAAAGAAAGAAAGAAAGAAAGAAAGAAAGAAAGAAAGAAAAGGAAGGAAAGGAAGGAAAGGAAGGAAGGAAGGAAGGAAGGAAGGAAGGAAGAAAGAAAGAAAGAAAGAAAGAAAGAAAGAAAGAAAGAAAGAAAGAAAGAAAGAAAGAAGAAAAGAAAGAAGGAAGGAAAGAAAGAAAAGGAAAGAAAAGAAAAGAAAAGAAAAGAAAAGAAAAGAAAAGAAAAGAAAAAAGATTCTCAGAATCAAAATCTATTTCATAGGTAACAATAATATCAAAAGTATTCCTCCATCTAGAGACAGAACTGGATGTGTTCTACCAGAAGTACTACAAGGATAATGGTGGCACTGTGCCCCAAATACCACATCTACCTTCTAGCTCGTGCCTAAAATTCCTTATCAAGACCAAACTATTTCTCAACAGGTACCCAAAAGTTTAAAACTGCAAAGAGAAATATATCATTCCTGCAAATACATCTTGGTAAACAGATTAAGCACAGAGGGCAGATAACTACTTGATTTTAACATGAGGAAAGAGGTTAGAAAGTAGAGACAGCAAAAATGGAAGATGAGAACACAAAATTTAAGAAGCATGGGAATTTTAAATAAACTGCCTCTGGACCTTCTGACGATCCTCTGCAGCCTCCCTAAATCCTGGACTATAGTCACTTCCCCAAACTTCCTCCAAATCTACTGTTGTTATGCCCCAAAAAGCAGATCTACCTCCCTTACCCTCCAAATTTCACAATCCTTCAGCTCCTAATAAGCTGTAATTAATAGTGCCTTAATTCTCACAACAGAAGTATTTGCCTTTCTAAAAGACACTCTTATGTAATTAATTTTGGATTGGTGGAATTAATTTTGGATTGGTGGAATTCCAGTCAGTGAAACAAAGTAAACTGGAAAAAGAAGAAAATCCAGACAAGAAATGGAATCCTCTGAAACAGCTAGGCAAGGTAACTAGTCACGCCCTGGAGTCCTGTCCCTAAATCGGTTTTCCTGAGTTGCTTCTGAATCTTCTCCTCTGTTACTTAGCAACCCAGAGTCTCTAAGAAGTACCTTTCAGAGGGTATTACTGTCCATGGCTCACCTGTAATGGAATTCCTCGGGTCTTTCTGTTAAGATATGAATTCCTGGAACTAACCTGAGGCTTTTTCAGAGCTCCCCCTATTAATGCCTAGGCACACTAGGATTATGAGAATTACGCTCTAATAGCTCCTAGAGTTCTGGGGTTGCGTTTTGGTTGGTGTTTTCCCTCCTGTGGTCTTCATGGGAGCAGCAGGGCTATAAGGAAGCAAGACTGGTCAACTGCAGCAGCCGGTGGTGAGTCAAGGATTGTTTACATCCTAAATATGATCAAAAAAGAGATCATTCTTAGCCAGGCGTGGTGGCCCACAACTGTAATCCAGCACTTGGGAGACTGAGGCAGGAGGATCATTGAAAGTTTAAGTTCAGCCTAGGCTACATAGTTCAAGGCAAGCCTGAACCACATAGTGAGACTCTGTCTCGGAGGAAAAAGAAAACAGACATAATTCCTTCAATTTTTCATTTCTTTCATACCTTAGTTAACCTTGCTAACTTGCACCTCGATACACAAACTCAACAACTACAATGTACCATTTGTATCAGGTTTGCAAAACTAGTAGGTTGTACCCAAAATTTTAAAGATTACATCCAGGGGCCAGGGATTTAGCTCAGTGGCACTGTTTGCCTCACAAGCACAAGGTCCTGAGTTCTCTTCCCCAGTACCAAAATAAAATAAAGCAAAAAAAAACAAAACAAAACACTAAAGATTACATCCAGAATTTCTCTTTGGTTCTTTTTAACTGACTTCTTAGTATCCCAAAAGAATCCACGGGATTAGAATTACACTGATTTAATAGTGTATTATTTGTAAGAAGTCACTAAAATGCAAACTACCAAAATGACAAAGAAAAACCCAAACAAGGACACACATCTACTTACTTGTAAAGATATCGACCCAGTGTCTTTAGTCTTACTTAGGAAGCTAGAGATGGATAAATTCAAGTCAATGCTACTGTTATCAGCAGTGGAACCAGTGCCTGAATCAGTGTCATTTTCCTTTTGATTCTCAGATTCTGGTAGTAGTATGGTTTCAGTTTTTGATAAAGCACCTATATCTCCTTTATTTTCTGTATCTTCGGAGTTGATATTAATACTGGGAACTGGAACAGGCTGAGGCTCACCGGGTTGTGAAGATGCAGGAACCTGAGGTTCTGTTTTGGCTGGCACTTCATGTGGGATCTCTTTCTGTCCTGTGTCTAGCTGAGTACTAGCTTTATGAGCGCCCTGAGTTTCACTTCTGACAGCCTCTTCATCAGTATCAATCACTGCAGTTTTCATCGCTACTTCTTCAGTGCTACTTGACTCAGTAACTTTTTCAACTTCATTTGTCCCTGGCTCCTCACTGGTGTCTAGTATGTTCTCTGCATTGCTGATTAATTGTTTCTCATATTTATTTTCCACAGATTTTTTATCTATGTCATTAGTCTCTATGATTTCGGTAACAGGAGGAACTTCTTCAGTACCATCAGCCTCAGGATCCTCTGTGACCTCATTTATTAATTTCTGGGCTGCTTCAACCACTTCTTTCCCATCATTACTCTGGACATCCTGGGTGCTGTTTTCAACTGCCTTCTGAGCAACACCTATGTCTTCACTTCTCTCTGCTATATTGCTTGTGTCACTGATCACTTCGTTTTGAGTTTTGTCATCTTTTCCCAACTTCTCTTGTGTGTCTTCCTTGGTATGCAAGACTCCACTGTCAATTACGTGGATATCTACCTCTTTTTCTCCTGTCTCTTCAGACACTAAATCAACTGTCTGAATAGTGGTATCTTTACTATCTTCAGATTTTACAAGTTTATTCTCAGGTAGCTGTTGCTTTTCCTGATCCCTTTTTTCCTCGGGTTTCAAACTGTTTTCAACATTTGTTTCTAAAGTAACTGTATTTTTCTCTTTTCCTTCGCTGACTAAATCAAGGTCCACCATTTCTTGGTCTTCTGTGTCAGGCAGACCGTCAAGCTTGGGTCTCTTCTCTTTCCTTCCATCCTCCTGGAGAACTGCTGTCGGACTAGGGAGCTCAGCCGCAGCTCCTGAGTGTGCATCATTCACATGTCCCTCAAGACCCTCCACAGTTTTATCATCAGCACAAGGTCCTTCATTAAGAACTTTGCTGCTAAATTTATCTCCAGAAGCATTGTGTTCTGTTTTTTCTGAGACAGATTCCAAAATACAAGCATTCTGTGAAAATTTGTCTTCCTCAGAGCTGGCAATACTAAGGTCAGAGGAGGCACGCTTATTTGTAGGTATCGGCTAAAAAAGATTTTATATATTTTTAGTGTTAAAACATGACCTCAAGATAATGATCAAAACAATGTTTATACATAAAACAATGATCTGACATTTGTATTCAGTAAAAGTTGAAGTTTTAAAGAATAATGATAATTATTCAACAATAAATATCAAATAAGTTTCACCCAAACATTATGAAAATTGGTAGCAAGGAGCAACCTTGTTATTCACCCCTAAAATTTAGGTTTTCTGCTGTTACTCAGATGACCCCTTAAGATACAAATGCAATCAACATCTCAAAACTCTGCCCTTAAAAATTTATTAAATGAAATTTCCTTTCAAAATACTGACCAGAGTATTTTCTATTTCCTCATCATCATCTTCCTCTTTGCCATCTTCAACTTCTTCTGTTACTTCTGCCTTTGCCTCTGCAATCAGCTCTCGGATTGGTTTGTTGGAATCAATAGTCACAAAGGGATGCTGTTGATCATTAAAAAGAGAATGCTCAGTAACAACAGAGAGACCTTGGAAAGTCAGGGTCCAACACATAAAACACATCCTTACGTGGTAAAAATATAATCTATATGTAGGAAAAACAGAAATAACTTCAGAAGATGTTATATCTGGAAAGGAAAGGAGAGGAAAGGGACTGAACAGAAGTCATAGTTGCCCACAACTGAATCTGTGCTTTTTTCCCTAGGAATCTGAAGAAAATTTGTTGAAAATAATGACTTGTACATGTGTTCTTTGTATATCAAAATATTTCATAGTAAAAAATTAAAATTTAAAGTCAATATATTATTGGTTCTTAAAAAGTAGAAACTACATAAATCATATCAAAGCCTCAATTTTAAAAAAATCACAAAAAGCTTCAGATTCTGTTAAAAGTATCTATAAATACCTGTTTTATTTTGTTTTTGAGATGGCTCTAATTTTTTTGTTTGTTTGTTTGTTTTTTGAGACAGGGTCTCACTATGTAGTTCAGACTGTTCAGAGTGCTCTGGAACTCACTGTGTAGCCCAGGCTGGTCTTGAACTCACAGCGATCCTCCTGCCTCAGCCTCCCGAGTGCTCGGATTACAGGCATGCACCACCATGCCCAGCTTGGCTCTAATATTCTTGAAGTAAAAAGGCATTTTATTCATCTCTGTACACTCAACATGTAACACTGGCTGCCACAGACCAGGGCCTTCAAATGTAGGAATAGTGAAACAGTGCAAGAAGGTATGCTCTAGGGATATACTTGTACACAGCAAGGCAATTTCTCCTACTTTGCCCTCATCCCGTAGATAAATAGATCAGCATAAAACACTATAATGCAGGAGTTACACAATAACTCATCCTAATACAATGATTGCCCCCAAATTTGTTACCCTATTGTCTGCCCATAAACATTACTTATTCAACAAACTTTTGTTTCAAATATTACAAACAGGTCCAACTATTAACCAAAATTAAATTTATCCAATCATTTTAATATCATTTTTAAAAACCCAATTATATGTATTCAACACTTATTCTCACTATAACAGACATTTTAAAAAATTAATAAGCAGGGGCTAGGGATTTAGCTCAGTGGTTCAGTGACTTGCCTTGCAAGTGCAAGGACCCAAGTTCAATCCCTGGTACCAAAAAAAAAAAAAAAGTAAAAAAAAAAATTAATAAGCTAATGGCCCTTGCTCAAAAGGTGCTTGCTTTCTAGCAATTTCAGAGATGTAATGAAAGTGAAAGAAACATAATTAAACTAAAAATAAAGCACAAGAAAAATGACTTATAATTTTAATGGCTATCAGTAATGCCACCTTATATCTATAAAGCAAATGCAACTATTGCATCATTTATTGTTTGTTGGTTTGGTTTTTTTTTTTTTGGTACCGGGGATCAAACTTGGATCCTTGTGCTCGCAAGGCAGGAGCGGAACCACTGAGCTAAATCCCTGGCCCTATTGATTGCATCATTTATTTTGGCTTTCTGTAGAGAAACTCAAATGCACAGAGTACATAATGAATGAAGAGACTGGAAAACAGCATGACTACTGTTGTCACACTACCCTACTTTACCTGCAGTAGTTGTGACGTAGTCCACCTGGCATCCACATTCTTTTCTAAGCATTTCTTTAGAAAGTCCTTAAAATCTGAAGACCTTCAAAATAAAATTTTAACAATGATATTCAAACAAAATTCCTCGATAACTCATGCTTAAGTTTCATTATGCATGAATGGCATTAACATTAGAAAACTAGCTAACAGAATAAAATTTATAAAACTTATTCTGAGTATATGACAGAAAGAAATGTAAACAGAAACAGTCACTGAGGCAGTGCCATGTATTCCCAAATATGCCAAGAATTCTATTATACTACATTCCACAACCACATGTGACTCACTTTCTCACAGTACAGAAAATACCTCTTTCATGTAGATCTCAACTCATTCAACTTTTCAAATACATGGAAAAGTTAGTTATAATTGTTTTTATAGACCTTAAATCTTGAAAAAATATCCAAAATCAATTTTGTAATTCATGTGGTCATTGTATCACATACCCAAAATTAAATACCCTTGGAAAATTGGAAGAATGAAACAGCAAGTTTTATTTCTTTTTTTTTTTTTTTTGAGACAGGGTCTCACTATGTAGTTCAGACTGCTCTGGAACTCACTGTGTAGCCCAGGCTGGTCTCGAACTCACAGCAATCCTCCAGCCTCAGCCTCCCGAGTGCTGGGATTACAGGCGTGAGCCACCACGCCCAGCTAAATTTTACTTCTTTAAAGGGTTAGTTTAGAATGGTTTACCATCTTGATGGCTGTGCTAATGCAGGGGGCTCGGATTTGGCTATTTTGAGCAGTACTCGCATTGGATTTAACTCATGATGAGGTGGTTCTATCTCAGCCATTTCTATTAAAGTGATGCCCAGGGACCACACATCAGCCTTGTAGTCATATGGCCTGTCCTTTGATGTTTCACACATGACCACTTCAGGAGCCATCCTAGGAAGACAGAGAATTCAAAATTAAGATGTTTAATTGAAGCACAGCTATTGAAAACTATACAGTTTAATAAATTCTGAAGACAGCCGGGCATGGTGGCACACACCTGTAATCCCAGCACTCAGGAAGCTGAGGCAGGAGGATTGTCATTTGAGGGCAGCCTGGACTACATAGTGAACTCAAGACCAGCTTAAACTGTTGAGACCCTATCTCAACAAAACAAATAAACAATTATGTGGACAAAAGTAATCAATAAGTGCTAGCCATGAATAGTGGTGAACACCTATAATCCAAGCACTCTGGGAGCCTGATGTAGAAGATCCCAAGTTCAAGCCCAGCCTGGGCAACTTAGCAAGACCTGCCTCAAAATAAAAAAATAAAGGGCTTTGGGTGTAGTTCAGTGAGAAGGTTCAGGATTCTGTATTTTATCCCCAGTACCAGAGCAGAAAAAACTGCTGATATGACTAATACTGTAAATTCATACATAATAACTGATACCTACCAATATGGTGTGCCAATAAAGGAATCCCTTCTTTGAATTGTCCTCGTGTTTTTAGCTGATACTCCAAAATCGGCTTGAAATAAATAATTATACAATAGCATTAAAAATAGCTTTTAAATATAGTTAATTATATTCAACAGGAAAGTGGAGGGGAGTGTTTTAAATCTTCAATAAGTACAGCATTATTAAAGGGTAATCAAAACAAATGAATTTTCCACATTCTAATCTTGACCACCATCTTTCTAGCACCTTCCAAAAAACACTCCCAAAGTGTCCCTCATTAATAAATTTAATACCACCATCTCTAGATATCTTCACGTGATATCTTCTTCAGAACTGAAAATAGTAATTTTAAAAGTATATCCATTTCAAAAACAACCTGCCAAATAGCACTATATGTTGCAAATAAACCTCTAGACAGCTTTTTCTATAGTGTGAAAAACAGAAATTACACTAAAGCAGCCTTTATGACAGCCATCTTACCAACTTCCTTACAAAAATGAATACTGGGAACTTTTATGTTTTCTCATTCAAATTATAAAGAACAGCAACATTACAGGTTTATCAGTTTGGAACTCAGATAACTATCAATGAACCAACTTATCTTTACTGCTAAATAAAGGAATAAAGCATTTTCTATCTTTTCTGTATGAACTGCAACCCTAGAAAACTAGTTAATTTATAGTAAATGAAAATGATAAAATTATATCAAATTTTTATCAAAATAATAAATGAAAACAACACAGAATTCATTTGACAACCCAAATCAAAGAAGAAACCTAGGTATTAACCATCAACAGCTAACATAAAGAAAGTGAAAAGTAGACACTGTGTGCCTCTTGATAAAAGAATACAAAAACCACTTCATCTTGCCAAAGGATCAAATTTGAGACTCATCAAGCCTCTGGATCAACCACTAATTTGAAGGAAATAAAGAAAGAGGAACTTACTGAAATTATCATGAGAATGCAAACTGCAGGCAGAGGAAAAGGCTACAGGACAAACAGCCTAGGATCAGGGGTGGCAAACCTATGGCCTGTGTGTTACTTGTTTTTTGGGTTTTTTTGTATTTTTTTTAAGACAAAAGATGTTAATGTATGAGTCGTTTTGGGGTTTTTATAGAGACAAAGTCTCGCTGTGTATTTAAATACAGGCTGGCCTTGAACTATGTAGCCCAGGCAGTACTCCTACCTTAACCACCCAAGTGCTGGGATTACAGGTGTGTGCCATCATGTCTGGCTGAGTTGTCTTTTCTAAACTAAAACCTCAACATTCAGGTTTACTTGCAGGTTGGCACTCTGATACATAAGTGAGTTTTGGGTTGCAGTCTGGGCATTCATTTCTAAAAGGCTCACCATCTTTGGCCTAGGTACATGAATCAATGTTTACTAACTTTCTTTTATCAATACTCTCCTTAAGAAGTACTGCAGACAATTTTTTTCTAATCCCACCTGAACTCATGAAATTTTATTTTTTGTTTTGTTTGGTTTGGTTTGGTACCAGGGATCAAACACAGACCCTTGCAAGGCAGGCAGTGAAACCACTGAGCTAAATCTCCAGCCCTATGAAATTTTAATATTACACGTACATTGTATATGTACCACAGGTCTTTGAGGTAGACGTCAGAAACCACTGTGATATTTTTACCCCCAAAGAATCAACTACTGCTCCCTTGGGGACAACTGTGCCGCTGGAAGAATTATATCATATAAGAAAGGAACTGAGATGGAACCTGTAAATAACAGAGGACTTTATAAAAATACCAAAATTTATATGTAGGCAAGTTTAAACTTTAAAAATCTAAACACAGGATGTTGAACACAGGGTAAATGGGTCATACAGTACACAAGGAAGGGATTATTAAAAAGTCAGAGTATGGTGAAGGAACGGATGGTGACCGAAATGGCCACATAGAAGAACATCCAGGAGCCTGCCAATGTTTGATTTCTTCATCTAAGTGTTGATTTCAAAATTCTTGTTTACAAGGCTAAGTCACTAAACTATACAGTTTTTTGTGTGCTTTTCTGTGTTCATGACACAACTAAAATGGATAAAATTTATCACCTGTTTACATGTCATGATAAAAATGGTTATAATCATTGATATCAATATGGTCTTTGAATATATTTTGTCTTTTTAACGTCCTTCCAAAATATACAAACTCAGACTTCATCACTGGGTTTTTTAAAATTTCGTATCTTGGGTATATTTCAACAAGGATATACCTATAAATATTCCTTCTGTGTGTATATGTGCATGATATTAATTAATTCCCAATCCAAAATCTATATCTCATTTTTCTTATGGAAAGTTAATCGTTTTTTCCTTTGGAGTAAAAAACAAAATAAAAATGTTAGTCCTTATACTTATTTTAGGCATCTTTTTCAAATCTAAGGATACTTTGCTAGTTTAACTAAGGGTACTGCATCAACACAGTGTAAAACTAAACATAGAAAAAAACCTGCTAGACACAAATTCTGAAAATAAAGATAAAACTGAAGCCAGGCATGGTGGCACCCACCTCTAATCCCAGCATTCTGGAAGGCTGAGAGGCAGAAGGATAGCAAATTAAAGACTCAGAGACTTAGTGACACCCTGTCTCAAAAGGCTGAGGATATAGTTCAGTAGGAAGGCCCTAGGTTCAAACATCAGCACTATCAAAAAAAAAGAACCAAACAACTGAATAACACTATACTATATTCTAAAAGTGAAGTATTTACATGTTCTAAGTCTATACACAAAAACTTAAGGAAAAAATTTTAACTTCACTTCAAAAAGTTTGCCGTTTTCAAAATAAAAATCCATCCTCTTTCTTTTTTAAAACTGTCTTTAAATTAGGTGATCATAGTAGGAATTCTGTGAATATTTATGAATATTTATCCACAGAAGTGTTTGAAAATTAGTAATTTTCTGTTTCACATACTTGACTAGTAATAAAATAACACGAAGTCACATACATTTAGGGGTAAATCTCAGAGCACAAATTCAAATAATTTATTTAGGTGAATAACTTACCCAACTTAATATCTCCATCTAAGGTAAACAGAATGTTGCCAGCTTTTAGATCTCTGTGGATGATTTTATTATCATGTAAATAATTCAATGCCTCTAAAGTCTGCTTGCAAACTACTTGTATTTGGGATTCAGTTAGAGGTCTCTCCAGTTCTATAAGAACAAAGTAAAAAAAAACATCTGCATTCTTACACAATGATAGCACAGCACCATGTTACATTTATCCCCCGCACAGACCATCACTGCAGTCTTGTCAAAGATCATACAGTGCATTTATTTTAGAACAAAATATCTACAACAAACATTCCATAAAACTCATATCTCATTTTAATTTTTTGAATTGTATAATTATGCAAGAACATAAAAATATAACTAAATTGATTTTTTAATTTATTGAACTTCAGTCAATGATTTTATACACATAATGGTTGAAATCTTTTTAAATTTGATACAAACATAAAGAATAGAAAAATACATTTCTTTTCAATCCCCAGTACCAAAAAAAAAAAAAAAAAAAAAAAAAAAAGAATAGAAAAGTATTCACCAAGCATCACAGCATCTACGGCTCCACCTGCACAAAATTCAATGAGGATCTGCAAACAAATAAAAAAGCATGTGTCTAAAAACTATATTGAGTTTCAGAATTTTTCTTCAATTTAGCAAAAAAGACAAAGAAATAACTATCAAATAATCTAGGTTATGGAAACAATATACTAAACATTAAGCATTTCTCTGTCAAAAGAGTTATAAATTTTAAATAACAAAACACGTTGTGGAAGCAAGTACATTTTTACATTTTTACTAAGGACCATTTTTAGTGTCCTCTAAAATTACCAGGTACAGGATTTTTATTTAGTACAGTATTATGTATCTATTTTGTCATGACTGACAGAGTTCATTACTGTCATTTTAAGATAGCTATTGTGATTTAAGTGATCAAAAATATTAACTTTACTACTGATAAATTCTGCTGGGTGTGGTAGCACATGCCTATCATCGCAGTTACCCAGGAGGCTGAGGCAAGAGGATCCAAGTTTGAGCCCAGCCTCGGTAACTCAGAGGCCCTATCTCAAAAAATAAAATAATAAGGGTCAGCAATTTAGCTCAGTGGTAAAGTGCTTGCCTACCGTGTGCAAACCCTGTGTTCAATCCTCAATACCACCAAAAAAAAAAAGTAAATCCTGAAAATATACAGACTTTGTTTTTTTTAAAAAAATGGAGCTTCAGATTCTAACAATTATCATTTGCTAAAAGGTACTTTCTTTGACCCTGTGATAAGATATAACACCATGTACCTTTCTTAACTTTTATCACAGTTATAATTTTATATTTATTGTGATTTTTTAAATATCTGTGTTTTTTATTAAACAGTAATCCAAATTCTTCAATAGTCCCAAGTGCTTGGGAGGCAGGAGGCAGAAGCATTGAGCTAAATCCCCAGCCCACTACAGTATTTTAGAAGACACCACACTAATAACTTCAAGTATTTTTTTTAAATAACATTTTAACAAATTGTGTAACTCTCTTCTCTTTTTCTCACTATAACAATAGTTTTATAAATGTTTGCCAATTACAAATTAATTTTCAAATTAATTATATTTGAAAAATATTTGAGAGGTAGATATTTATTCATTTTTATTTCCAATCAGATGTTCTTTATGCTGCTTATTCTTCTCTCAAACTACTTTGCTTCTTCATTCAAGGAGAAAAACTAAAACTTCATTATAAAAAGCTCTCTTGATTAAGTTAAGGTGGTATAAAACCAATGACTGACTAGTAATCATGAACGTTAACATTTTATTTCTATATATTTTGGGGCCTATTTTCCTAAAAACAAACAAAATTTACATATACAACTTAGTCACCATGCACTAAAGTTGGAGCTGATAATATGTAATATAAATATTTAACATTTAAGTATTGTGGAGTTTATTACATCATTTACAAAAACTGTAGGATAAAAAATATAAACAATTTCAGGAAAAACAAACCTTAAAAAATTTTTAAAGAAATGCCTAAATTTTAATTTCAAAAAGGACATCTAATTCCATATTTTTGGAAATTTATTATTTAATATTCTTAACCAAGTTTTTCCACCTGGACCCAAAGTCTAACAATCACAATGAAACTGGTATAACCTGAAAACTAAATATGAGTGTGTGCTGCAGCTGAGGATAATTGTGTTATAAGTGACTCCTCTGTAGGGAAACAAGTCTCATTTGACTGACTGTGAACAGAAAAGGCAATACATAAAACAGGTTTCCACAATCTCTTTAAGACAAATAACTCATTTTGGTTATCTCACAGACCAACAGAATACACTTACCCAAAGGTTGTTCTCATAATAGAAAGCATCTAGAAGCTTGACGATGTTTGGGTGATCACAAGATGCTAATATATCAATCTCAACCATGTAATCTTCAAGTTCTTCCTCAGATTTGGTGTCAATTACCTTTGCAGCAGCTAAAACATTAGTCTCCTTGTTTTGGGCCTAAAAAACAAAGTATCAGAAGTGTCACGCTTATAATGTGTATTTTTTAATTTAATGATTGTTAGAGCAGTTTTAACTCCACAGAAAAACTAAACAAATACTGCATTCCCTCATACCCTTCACTCCCACACATGGGAAACATGCTCCACTATCAACAGACCCCACCAGGCAGTTATAATTGGTACAAATGATGAACCTACATGAACACATCATTAACACTCCAAGTCTACAGTTTACAATCAGGTTCACAGTTGCTACTGCACATTCTTGGGGATTTCAACAAGTGGGTAACAGGGCCTTATCATATTATGCAGACATTCTACTGCCCTCTGTGTCTGGCCTACTCCCCACTCCCTTCCCCCTACTTCCTGGCAACCACTCATCTTTTTACTGCCTTCTTGGTTTTGTTTGCCTTGTCCAGAATGTCAAATAGTTGGATCATAAAATATGTAGACCTTTCTTTTCCGTTTGCCTTCTTTCACTTTGTAGTATGTATTCAAGGTTCTTCTGGGTCTTTTCATATCTCGATAGCTTATTTCTTTTTAGCGCTGAATAATATTTCATCAGATGTACTACAGTTTATCCATTCACCTAATGAAGGACATGTTGATTGTTTCCAAGTTATGAATAAAGTTGCTATAAACACGCATGCACAAGTTTCTGTGTGGACATGTTTTCAACTCATCTGGGTAACTACCAAAAGCTGTAATTGCTGGATCCTATGGTATATTTTGTAAGAAACTACCAAATGTCTTCCAAAAGTGACGATACTATTTTGCATACCTATTGGCAAAACAAGAATTGCTGTCGTTCCACATCCTCACCAGCATTTGTTGTTAATACTGTGGATTTCACCAACCTAAAAAGTACAGTGGCATCTTATTTACATCTTATTTACATTCTCTTATCATGTTCAAATCTTGTACTGCCTACTTGGCCTAGCTCAATTACTGCCCTACCTTAACCTTGTCTGAGGACAGACTGCCTGTAGGTCAGAGGCTGCTCTTCAGTAGGCTACCTCAAACTGGCTGGATCTAAGATCAAGACAGCTGCCACAGTGACTCCCAGACAACCTCTAACTTCACTTAATTCATCTGCAAGCTAAATAACTCCAACCCCCAGCAGCACAGCAGTTAGCAATTGTAATAACAATGACCCTAAAGAACCATAAAAGGAGCAAAGACAAGCAGTATCTCAAATTCCCAGGAAATCTCCACCTATTTCCAGAAAAGACATG